GTTCTGTTTCCACCGTGTCTCCCGTGTCCTCTCTCTTTTCCTCACACACACATATATATATATATATATATATATATAAAGATCAACATAATCTCAATCCATATACATCATCAATTCATCATCATCAATTCATCATTTTTACAACATGAAGATGCAGAAAACTTGCGACTTGGAACTTCGTCTTTTTCCCACTTCTTATGATTCTGATTCTTCAGATACAACCTCGTAAGTCTCTCCCTCTCTTGAAATTTGATTAATGAGAAAATTATTGTTTAATTATTATATGAATCTGATAAACATTGAATTGATTTGAAGTGTCGTAGAATCAACCAGTTGTGGAAATCCACAACCAAAGGAAGAATCTCAAAGAATAACAATTTTCTACAACGGAAAAATGTGTTTTTCTTCAGATGTTACACATCTTCAGGTATGTAACACATTCATATATGTGATTATATATCTTTCAATGAAACGAACCAGTGAATTTTATTTTTCGGTGGATGTATGAATTAACAATGTTTAATGTATGAATATGCAGGCAAAATCGATAATATCGATCGCGAACAGAGAAATGGAAAAGAAGTCATCCTCAAACGGGTCGGATCCTCCAAACAAGTCGACACCATTTCATCATAATCAGCTTCCAAATCCAAAGGCATCAATGAAAAAATCTCTCCAAAGCTTTCTTCAGAAACGGAAAAGTCGAATTCAAGCTACTTCACCTTACCATCAGCATTCACGACGATAATAATTATTTTATTTTATTTTAGTAGGTTTTGTTTGTTTTCTATTAATCCAAATGGACTATAGCTGTAGTGTTTTTTTTTTTTACTGATTAGGGAATTACTCCTATATAGTATATGATTCATCCGAAGATCGATTTTGAATTTGACTTTTTGTTCGTATATTTTTGTTAATTCTCAATCAAAATCAATACTAATAGATAACAAAATTTGCATATATTAACAAAACATAAGATCCGGACGAAGCACGGGTTATTAATCTAGTATATACATTAAACTAAACCGATGTTCTTATTTATATAAAGTTCGCAAAATAGTATGAACTAGTATTTTATGAGTTTAATTAATGTTTAAGTTCTTGATTATACACGTCAAATTATGAAAAAATTAGTCGAATGTTAGAAAATTTAATTTCTGTTTACAAATTGTGTACTATATTGATCAAATAAAAAAATGGGTCTTGTGTATTTGAAAAAAAAATGGGTCTTGTATAAGCGGAAATTTGATTAACGGATGATTTTTGGTTCGGGACGTGTAAAGTGTAAACCATGACTATTAATTTCTTTTTCTCACTTGGTGTTTGCGCTTCCAATGGTGACTGAGCAACGGATACTGGATACACCTCAGTGATTTTCGAAGGAGACTGTGACGTGTTGATAAAGATGGTCAATAATTCGGATCATGACATCTCAGTTATACGGATTTGCCAAGACATCATCTAGACATCTACTGGTTGAAGAAACTCCAAGATGTTCAATTCCTTTACACGGAACGTTGTAATAATTCAGCTGCTCATTGCTTTTGCTTAGCAAAATTTGGTTGTTCAATGTTTTTTTTTTTTTTTTTTTTTTTTTTTTTTTTTTTTTTTCAATGTTTAAAAGCAATAAAGGTCATTTTCGACGAATAAAACAAAAAACTTGGCGTTTTTTCTTTTCAATTAAGTGTATGCTTCCTCTCTTGTCCTCAAAACTACTCTGCCAAAATGTAAGACTCTATAAGTCTTACTCATAGGCACTTGTCACCTTGCATTTAAATTGAATATCTTTTAACAAAAACAAAATATCATATAACAACATCGGCATATTTTCACCTTTAAAAAACCATCTTTTTTTTTTTTTTTTTTTTTCATCACCTTTAAAAAACCATCTATGGAGTGTATAGTCATTTATTAATTTAGTCAACAAAAACTTGTGTGCTAAAACGGAAGAAGCTAAGTAGAGATGGACAATAACCAATTTGATATTATTGACTATTGTTACAGAATATAGTTTAGAGAAAACTAAGGAAGAACATAAATGTGGAGTTGGAATCTGCCAAGTGGCTAAGTTTACAAAACGTAAATGTCCAGTGGTAACTTCCAAGTGGGATAGTCCTGGGTTTGAGTCGTCTTGACCACCTAACCGCGTTTTAAATTTGGAATATTTTGAAACGCGTACCTGGATCCAAGGCCTCGCAGATTAGTTTTTAAACCTAAAAAAACCTTTGGAATCTCCACGGTTAACAAAACAAAAAAAAAAGTAGCGACCTTGGCTCGGCAGATTCCAATGCCCTATGATTCATTAATACAGTGTCTAAGATTGCAAAAACAAAAAAAAAATCACCAAAAATGAAAAGATCAAAGAAAGCTTGGTACCCACACAAACTGCTCTCTTAAATCTCATAGTCGTAATTCAACCTTTGTTGGTAGTATTCTTCTCTTCTTTTGTTGCCAAAACATGGGGATCGAAAGGATCAACATTATGAGAGCAGTAAGAGTTGCTAATGTATCCATTTTTCGTAACACTGTAAACCAAATGGTTGAAGAGAAGCTATTTCTCCCGGGTGAATGCATGATGCTTGAGATAGCTAGGGCTTCTGCTGTTGCTTTGGGACTAGGCCTGGTCCACAAGAAAAACTATCCAAACAATGGTTTAAGACATCCAAATAGATGGACATATTTTAGGAAAAATATTTTAGGCATTTTATGTAAAACACACAAAATTTTATAGGTTTTGTTGTTAATTTTTTTTTTATTAGGCTTTTCTTTTACCATATTTCATAGGTTTAAAACTTTTAAGTTAATAAAATATTAACTAAGCGTGTTTGTAATGATTTTTTTTAGTAAAATTTTGGTTTAGATAAAAAACCTAAACGAAAACAAATTTTTCTCTTCTTTTTTTTTCGTTTGGTATGAGTGTAAAATTATATTCACTAAAAAAAGATATTTGTACAAAATTTTCTCTTTGATTGATTCTATTGTTATTTGTTCTTCTATTTGCTTGGTAAGGTACATGATTTTAATTACAAAATCGAAGACTTTGCTTTGAAGAATAGAATTGAAAGAAATAATTTGATTTTTACTAAAAAAATTCTTACAAACTGCTCATGGGTTTAAAAGCTGTTTTATCAAGTTTTAGTATAACTTTTTTTTTTTTTCATATTACTATATTATGTGTAATTTTGTAAAAAAAGATATAAAGATCACGATTTTTTAGTTTTCATAAGGCATTCGAAAATACCGTACATGCTTTGTTTGGGACTCTCGAAAGACGTAGTTACAATGATGTTGTTGCACAACAATTGGATGAGTGCTCAGTTCACTCACGAGGTTCTTACTCCCTTGCCTCCTTCTCCAAAAGGTGTATAGATGCAGCATGCGGTTCTTACACGTACCAAGTACATGGTTGTAAAAGCCAGTGCAAAGATAAGAGCCTATAGGGAGTTTCTTGAGACACACGAAGAAGAATCTGATAAGGAGGGTGAATAGTGACCAACAAAACAACATCTCCTCAACAAAACAACTTTTTGAAATGCACAATTTACTTTTGGTTCAAATCACCATGGTTTACACTTTACACAACCTAAACCGAAAATCGTCCTTAAATCAAATCTCCGGTTTAATACCGGTTCTTTCAATTCTACCAATTATCAAACAATGAATCGTACGGCATATACGAGAATTCAAAATTTTAAACCCCGCTTTGATTTTGTTGTATTTTTGGGATTTAGCGATCGACTTGTTAGAGTCTGAAATTTTCTCACGAGTATTGAGTTTCGTGATACCATGCTGGTCTAAATCGGACCAACATATCCCGGTTTATTCCCAGACATTGTGGCAGCCTAGTAAAATTATTCAGCTATAATGGGACCAAGTTAAACCAACTGATTTAGAAAACCAGCAACCAACCGAACCAAAATCAAACTTATTGTACATTTGTCCAAAAGTAATTTGTGCACACCATTATGAAAACCCTTGAACCAAAGTAAATTGTGGATTCCAAAAAGCTCATTAGTTTTTCAAATTCTTATGTTTTCATTTAACGAATAAAAACAATATATTATAATAATAAATACAATTTTTATTTAATTAAATTAATGTCAAATACTTATATTGTTATTTTGAACTTCAATAGTCATTGTTTATTAGTTAATATTCATGCTAAATGAATTTCTTAGGAAACTTAATATTTGCCAAATTTAGTTTACCAAGAACACATGTAACTTTTTTTGTTAGTTTTCCTTTTGGTTAAAGGAAAATAATAGTTCATTTTTTTAGTTATAGACATATAAATTAGTATATGTAAATATGTTACTTTTTCAATTTTTCTATTTTTTTTTTTTTTTAAAAGTTAAATCTTTTCTGACACATGTCAACATCTGATCATAGATTTGATATGTGTCACGATCACATAAATTGGTAACTTTGAAAACCAAGTTTTATATAATAAGATGTTATTCGGTAAAAATTTATTCAATGGCGCAAAAAAAATTCTTATAGCTAAATATATCAGAAAAATGTTAGTATATATTTTCATCGGGCATATTTTTTTTTTTTTAAGAAGTTGAATGCAATTACATGGATGTGTATGGATTATTGATTAATTAATCATAACAAATTATTAACTTTCAACGGTTAAAAAAAACGTTAAACATGTAAAAGCCATTACTATGTAAGTTTTAGAAAGAGATGTATGAAATATGGTTGGCTGAGAATGTATGGGTTTTTTTTTTGACTTTGGTTTATGTACTTGTATATTATGTCAAAGTTATTATATCTTTCGTAAGAATTGTGAGAGGGCCACGGTAATGAATACGTAATGGGTAACAAATATACATAGTAAGAAAATAGTTAGAGATATGGAAAAGAAAAGCAATATCTCTGTTAGTAAGAGACTACCTTGGCTTTGGCAAGATTCCAAAAACGAAAATTTCACCAAAAAGGAAAGAAAAAAACTTGCTACCCACGCCTATTTCTCTCTTTAATGGTGGAGACTTAAACTTCATTGTGGGTGATAATCTACAATAATGTCTCGGCTTCTCTCCAAGCTCTCTCCCCTCGTAAGCTCTTTCTTTTGCTTGTATTTTTCTTAGATTAGATGGTTTACTTTTTCTACTTTAGATTAGATAGATAAGGTTCGGAGGGTTGAGATTGCTCCTAATTACTCCTAAGCTTAATTAGAGAAGATGCTTCATTTACTTTTGATTGGGTCTTGATCTCGGTGTTGCTTAACTTGGCAGATTCACAAGAGCAGTAGGAGCGTCCGTTCGTTTTCATCCTCCACGACGGGCCCATGTGTTTCGATTGGCAGCATTATGGAACCCTCGCCAGACGGCGGCAACCTCGGACAAGTCCTGTTGTTCAACATACCAGATTTCAAGTTAGTCAGAGCGGACAAAACATATCCCAATGAGCTTTATGACTCCCAGTTGGTGGGAGCTTCCCATGGATGGGGATTTTTCTCCAATAGAACAGATCGGTCGTTACTTATCAGCGACTATCTAAACCCTCATGCTTCCAAGTCACAACCAAAGATGATTCCTCTGCCTTTTGTTACTCCAATGTACTCTGGCCAAACCGAAGTCGTGTGCAACGTGGCAATGTCCTCTCCTCCTCCTGATCAAGAAGACGACCAAGACGATTGGGTCGTTGGCATCAAGTTCTTGGGTAGACAGCTGAGTCTCTGCAGGCCCCGTTGTGACCTGCGTTGGACTAACATCCTAACCCCTTTTGAGTCGTGGGATAGCTCAAAACTTATGTATTCCAAGAAAGACCAAAAGTTCAATTTGCTTGCTCCTGGAGGCAACTACTTATGCTCCTGGGATCTCAACTTTAAGGAAGACAAGAAGCCTAAGTTCCATGAGTTGGTGTTGCACAACCTTCCCAACTTGCCACGTTCCCAACGGAAGCTGTTGGATTCCTACTGCAGGGAGGATCATTGGGTGGAGTCACCTTCAGGCGAATGTTTCCTTGTCAAATGGTACTAGCTAGAGAAATATTTATGAAGGAATTTTCCTGAGAAACAAGAAAAACTAAACACCTTTGGCTGCAGGTACTCGGAATACAACCCTAAAGGGTACGAAGCATCGACTGTAATTGTAATGGTGTTTAGAGAGGAGGACACACAAGCTGGGAGGAAAAACATGCGTCACACAGATGACATTGGAGATTTGTGCATTTTCATTTCTAAAGGAGAGGACTTCTGCGTCAAGGCGAGCTCTTTCCCTGGCCTCCCCCCTAACTCGGTATTTTTAAATGGACGTTTGTTTGCGACGCTCAATATGAGCAACGGTACCTTCGGTTGCTATGAATACCCTCAAGGTACACCAGAAAAAGTTCCCTACTCCCCCTTCTGGCTTCCTCCGTTTTCTCCCTAGTGCTCTCCTTGCTCTTATTGTCTGTCTTGTTTACCGGATTTGAATTGTCAACATCATCTAATTAACCACTTCATTTGGTATTTAGGAAAAATTTCCCGTTATACAAATTTGTAGACTTCTTCTGTAAGAATATTCTGTGTCACGTATGTATGGAATTTAAGAATATCAAGCTAGCTTTGCTCATCCTAAAATTACGTAACAAATTTCTTACAGTTCAGATCCTATATTAGTTTCTTTCATGTCCATGAATTTGATATTCCTTGAAGCCCAACCGAGATTACTCAACCTTATCAAGTTTAAGCTTATATATGGAATTTATTCAAGGAGTCCATGACTCATAAAACACTAACAAAATTAAGGAATCAATAGAAGCAGAAAAATGGAGATTACAATTTAGACCAGAGTGAACCTGCAAGTAGGAGTCACAAAATCAGGAAGATGTTGAAGCCGTCAATTTGAAAGTAGGACTTGAATTGAATGCAATCCAACCTATTGCTACTGTTGGTTCTGAAGGCAATGGTTTGGCTGAGCCAAGGGACACACACTTTTATAGAACTAGGTTAATTTAGCCGCGATACTCGCGTCTTGTTGCATACTATATTATATGTTTGGTATTTATTTTATGTTACTTGTAAAAGCATAATTTATTTGAGAAATATAAAACAAATAATTTATTCCGTAAACTTTTTTACAGTTTACGAAATAGATGTAGGAATGGAGATGAATTATATTGTAAAAGATAAGTGAAGAGAGATGAATTATTCTTTTATACAATTCAAGCGTCTGCTTCCATTACTATTTAACACTTATGTTGTTTCGAAGAATACTTAATTGTATTTTCCTTCTACTCATCATTAGTCTTCTTGATTTTTTTCTTAATCTCACTTCAAAAATGTCAAATTTATTTTGAGTCAATCAAATTTCAGGTTTATATAAATTATTGTTTTAGACAAAGAAAATCAACTTTAGTACATCTTCTCTTGTTGCATTACAAACTTCGGGTTTCTCTACTCGCTCTTTTTAAAAGACCTCTGAAATAGCACATACGATTGATTGTGAGTAAGGTTTCTTGGTTACATGTCATCTCCTCTTTACAGTCTCTTACAAAATTGATAAAAAATAATAATATTGGAACACAATTAGTCGGATTATAAAAGAAAGTGTTATAAAATTTATCAATATTTTGAAATTTGGAATATGATGGTTAGTGATATGTGTATATTATTATTTATAGAAGACAACATATTTACGTTTTACAACTATTCAACTTTAACAATTATGTTTAAATGCCATTTATGAGTAAGTTAATTGTATGTATATCATAAAATTTATGTTACATTTCAAACAATTCATTGTGTAGAATTCATTTTGTATTAATTGTATTTAAAGTATTGTTGCAATTTAGTGTGAGCATTAACAACATAACGATAATAATTAGTATGGGGGTTACAAAATATGAGAAAATACATAAATATAATTATTATATAGTATTATAGAAAAATCTTAAATTATAACATGGAAATGATGTGGATGACATTTGTTTTAATATAAATATGATTGAAAGTTTTTTTAAAAGCTTTTAAGATTTGATATCTTGCATTTGCTCATATTTTACTTTTTTTTTTTACTTTACTATTATTTATGTATGTAAACATCTATAAACATATGTTATCTATTACTTTTACAAAATAAATTGTTGATATAAACTCACAGATAAACTCACAAACTCATAAAAAAAAAAACTAATGTAAGAACACAAAACAAAAAATATTTTTAAGATTTGAGATATAGTGGAAGAGGGTGAGAGGATGAGAGTATGAGAGAATGAGAAATGAGTATTTATAAGATGAGAAGTGAGATAAGTTATAATTAAAAAAATAAATTATGGGAGTTTTAATTCTAATTTATTGTGTGTTGAATAAAATTGAGTGGAAAATATAGTTAATGTATAATTTTATGATTTTAATTTTTCTATTAAAGTGTGAGTTAAATGTGTTTTATTTATGCTTTAATTAAAAATAAATAAAAATAAGTTATATTGCCAAGTGGACCAATAAGAAGAGAGTGAAACCTTACTTTTATATGTATGATTTTAACTTTGGTCACAACTCACAAGTTTCATTATACCGTACCGCTCTAAACCGGACAAAAATCTCCCGGTTCATTGCAGGACATTTTGCCAGCCTAATCATTCAGCTTAGTGGACGAAGTTAAACCGATGATTTAATCAAGTAACTAGACTAATGTTTCTCCCGATTAAATAAAATCTACGCAACCAACCGAACCGTAATCGAATTCATTTACCGAAACAGAGTTTAAAATTTATAGATGTTTGCCGATGTTATTACTTTTCAGACCCCACCCTAATGGTAAAACTCACCACTTTAGTAAAAACTGAAAAAACTAATCAACATCCACTGATTCGATTGGCTATATTCAACTTCTTCTAAAAGATAATAAATATTATAAACCAATCAAATATATATTCAACTTTTTAAGAAAGAAAATTCATATTATCCAGTGACACAAATTTTTCTGATGATATTTATTATCTTTTGGATTTAAAAAGTTATTTACTAAGATTTGTGCCATTGGCTACTACAATTGCATTCAACTTTTTGATTTAGTAAATATTTTCACCATCTTTTTTCAGAATTTGAATGCAATTAGATGGATGTGTATGGATTATTGATTAATTATTAGTGCTAAGAAATATTAACCTTCAACCGCGAAAAAAAACTTTAAATCTGTAAAAACTATTACTAGACCCCATATGGGAATATGGATGCATGGACTGTGTTGTGAGTTGTGTGACTCTAGTTGGATGAGCTTCCTTGTCGTGGGAGACTTTTAAGATCGAAGTTTTAGATAGAGAGATTTATGAAAGAAATATGGTTGGATCAGAATTTATGGTTTATGACTGTTCTTGTAGATTCTGTCAACCAAGTTATTATATCTTTTGTAAGAACTGTGAGTGGGCCACGGTAATGACTAATGATTACGTAATGGGTAACAAAATATACAAGTAAAAAAAAAAGGAAAAGAAAAGCAATGTCTCTGTTAGTAGAGACTACTACCTTGGCTTTGGCAAGATTCCAAAAACGAAAATTTCACCAAAAAGGAAAACAGGAGAGAAAAAGCTTGCTACCCACGCCTATTTCTCTCTCTCTCTCTTAATTAAGAGACTCCAAAATACATCAACTCATTTTTGGGTTTCTTCTGCAATAATGTCTCGGCTTCTCTCCAAGCTCGTTCCCCTCGTAAGCTCTTTCTTGCTTTTGTGTTCTGTCTTTGTTTCTTGTTTTTTTTTTTTTTTTTCCTTTATGTTAAGACTAAGAGAGCATGCTACATTGCTACTTTTCTAGAAGTCTTTTACCTAAGAAAATTGATTTGTTATAAAGAAAAAAAACCAAGGATAAGGATCGTAGGGTTGAGATAAATCTATGTTTTAGAGAAGAGAATTAATTTACTTTGTGTTGCTTAATTACTTTGGCAGATTCACAAGAGGAGCGTTCGTTCGTTTTCATCCTCCACGACAGGCCCGTATTTGTCGCTTTGTGTCAGTTCAAAACCCTCGTCGGAAGCCGGCGTCAACGTCGGAGAAGTGGTTTTGTACGATCCTGCTAAACAAGAGATACTCAACCTTACGGACAAAGCAATTCCAGAAGAAATCGTCACAGCCAAATGGATCGGAGCTTCCAAGGGATGGGCTTTTTTCTCTGACACACAAGACCGTTGTGTACTCATCACCGACTCTTTGAACCCATGGGCTTGCAAATCAAACCCCAAGCTCTTAACTCTGCCTCCACTTAATCCTCTTTTCTCTTGCCAAACTGATGTGATATGGAACGTGGCAATGTCATGTGGTCCTGATGACGATGAAGACTGGGTTGTTGGCATCAAGTCCTTGGGTGACCAGGTGAGTTTATGTAGGCCTCGTCGTGACTTGCGTTGGACTAAGTTCCAAACCCCTTTTGACCACTTTCCAACCTCGAATCTGACGTATTCCAAGAAAGATCGGAAGTTCTACTTGCCTGGTCCTGGAGGCCATCACTTGTTATCCTACAATCTTGACTTCAACAAAGCCGACCAGCCTGAGTTCCATGAGTTGCAGTTTCGCAACTTTCCAGAGTCGTTCAAGTATGACTCGGAACTGTCGGAGATGTTTCCTTCTTCTTGTAGAACGGAACGCTTTGTGGAGTCACCCACCGGAGATGAACGTTTCCTCGTCAAATGGTATACATATATAATATACTCTATAACTACTAATTTTAACATATGAATTATACATGATTGCTGAACCATTAATCTTTGCTTTTTGCATGCAGGTACGCCAAGGGTTGTTTGGCTTATTCGAGTAAAATCACCTATGAAACGCAGAGGTTCATGGTGTTTAGAGAGGAGGAGACTACCGAAGGAAGATTCATGTGTTACACTGATGACATTGGAGATTTGTGCATCTTTGTTTCAAAGAGCGAGGCTTTTTGCGTCCCGGCAAGCTCTTATCCTGGCCTTAAGCCAAACTCCATCTATTTTGTTGGCTTTGGCTTAGGTATATACGATCTTACCAACAGAGATGTCTCTACTTTTCGAGCTCCCAAAGGTGCACTGAATCAAGTTGTGTCCCCTTACTGGTTTCCTCCAGCTTCTAGCTAGTGCTAGGATTGTATGGCTTTGTTTGCTTCGGTTTTACTTTACTCCCGACTTGCTAAGATCTAACTATCGGTCATCTATGTTCCCTTTTGATTGTATTAGGAGTTTATTATATTCAATGGAATAATTCTTCTATAAATATATTTTACATACACAATAATTCACTTCATTTGTTTTTAACATGAAACATTTCTTTTAGCCACCAAACCATCTCTCTAATCATATCATATTCATGGACATAAAAGTAAGGGAACACAAAACCTAAAATAGGATTCTGAAATATTGTAAGACAAGTTACATCAGATATTGACTCCATGTGACACCAACCAAATACCAAATGAAGTCTTCAATTTTCTCAGATTAGAAAAATATAATTAGATGATCTTTGTAATCCAAACCTAAAAGAACAAACCACACAATAGGACTAATGAAGCAAGTAGAGCTCTAAGGAGAAAACGGAGGAAGCCAGTAGGGTAAATAGGGAATTCTTTTTGGTATGCCTTGGGGATATTCGTAGCAACCGAGGGTTCTTTTCGTGAGATTGAGAATCACAAACAAACGGCCATGTAAACAGATGGAGTTAGGTTGGAGTCCAGGGTGAGAGCTAGCCTTGACGCAGAAATCCTCTCCCTTTGAAATGAAAATGCACAAATCTCCAATGTCATCTGTGTAACGCATGTGTTTCCTTCCATCTATCGTCTCTTCCTCTCTGAAAACCAGAACAGTTGGTGATTTGCACCAGTTACTGGTGTTTTCAGGGGAGTATTCACAGTACCTGCATACATGTTACAAGCCAAATGGGTGGTGTTTAGTTTTTGTTTCAGCAAAATTCCTTAAATACTATTTACTTAGGTTACCATTTGACAAGGAAACTTTCGCCGGAAGGTGACTCCACCCAATGATCCTCCCTGCTGAATGAATCCAACAGCTTCGAGTGGGAACGTGGCATGTTGGGAAGGTCGTGCAAGACCAACTCATGGAACTTAGGCTTCTTGTCTTCCTTGAAGTTGAGATCCCAGGAGCATAAGTAGTTGCCTCCAGGAGCAAGCAAATAGAACCTTTGGTCTTTCTTGGAATACATAAGTTTTGAGGTTTCCCATGGCTCAAAAGGGGTTAGGATGTTAGTCCAACGAAGGTCACGACGGGGCCTGCAGAGACTCAGCTGTCTACCCAAGAACTTGATGCCAACGACCCAATCTTCTTGGTCGTCTTCTTGATCAGGAGGAGGACAGGACATTGCCACGTTGCACACCACTTCGGTTTGGCCAGAGTACATTGGAGTAAAAAAAGGCAGATGAATCATCTTTGGTTTTGACTTGGAAGCATACGGGTTCAAATAGTCGCTGAGAAGTACCGACCGATTTGTTCTATTGGAGAAAAGTCCCCATCCATGGGAAGCTCCCACCAACTGGGCGGCATAAAGCTCGTCGGGATATGTTTTGTCCGCTGTGACTAACTGCAAATCTGGTATGTTGAACAACAGGAGTTTTCCGAGGTTGCCGTCCGGAGAGGGTTCCATAATGGTACAAATAGAAACACATGGGCCGGTCGTTGAGGATGAAAACGAACGAATGCTCCTACTGTGCTTGTGAATCTGCCAAGTTAAGCAACACCGAGATCAAGACCCAATCAAAAGTAAATGAAGCATCTTCTCTAATTAAGCTTAGGAGCAATTTCGACCCTCCGAACCTTATCTATCTAATCTAAAGTAGAAAAAGTAAACCATCTAATCTAAGAAAAGTACTAGCAGAAGAAACAGCTTACTAGGGGAGAGAGCTTGGAGAGAAGCCGAGACATTATTGTAGATTATCACCCACAATGAAGTTTAAGTCTCCACCATTAAAGAGAGAAATAGGCTTGGGTAGCAAGTTTTTTTCTTTCCTTTTTTACCTTTTTGGTGAAAGTTTCGTTTTTTGGAATCTTGCCAAATGCCAAGCCAAGCTTGTAGTAGTCGCTACTAGAACAGAGACAATAATGCTTTTCTTTTCCACTTTCCTATTTTCTTTTTCTTTTTTTCCTTCTATATTTTTTACCCATCATTATTCACAAACGATATAATAACTATGTTGACTGAAACAATAAACAAGTAAACAATAAATTCTGACCCAACTACATTTATTTACACATCTATCTTTATCCTTAAAAGTCGATGATATCTTTTATCTTCACATTTTTAATTTGCCATCTCATGATTATTCTTTTACAACTACAAACTTATGTTCTTCCTTTCTTTAACAATAATCAATACTATCAAATTGGTTATTCTGCATCGCCACTTGCCCACTTCTTCCGTTTTCACGTACAAGTTTTTTGTATATGTCATAAATATGAATAATCAATACTATGAAATTCAAACTTTGTTATATCATTATGATGAACCAAATGAAACGCAAACTTTGTCTCGGGAATATGAATTTGCTTTTCGTTCGGTTTGGTTGTCAGTTTTCGTAACCAGTTGGTTTAGTAGATCTCAAATGGAAATAAACGTGAATTCGGTTACTTGGTTTAATCATCGGTTTAACTTGGTCCAATTATACGCAGTGATACTATGATAGGCTTGCCAAAATGTCCCACCATGAACCGGGAGATGTTGGTTCGATTTAGACCGGCACGGTACCCTGCTAAAAAGTTCAGATTCTTGCAATTCAAACCAACCACTAAACCCTAATATACATTTGAAAATGCAAGAGTCTCCGATGATTTGAAAGAATCTAAGCGGACTTGAAATTTGAATAACAATAAGACAAGCCCTCATAGTTGTCCTTTGAAAGGAAATTTTTGGGAAATCTTTACTTACGAAGATATAATCTCGCCAAAAATTCAAAAGTTGTGAAATTTGAAACGATAAACAACAGTACAACACACACACGATGAGAGAGGAAGAATATCGCTACTTGTCTGACATCAATTGGGCCGTTACTATCGATCCAAATGGGCCTTGTGTGATAACTGGTATAACTTACAGAACCGATAGAAAAATCATCATTAAATCGAATTTCCGGTTTTATACCGGTTCTTTCAGTTATATCAATTTTGGGTTATTCTTTAGTCTTTTCACTTTTGGAATGATTAATATATTAATAAGAAAACAAACTACAGTAAAACCTCTATAAATTAATACTCTATAAATTAATAACCTCTTTAAATTAATAAATTCTTCCGGTCCCGAGTTGGGACTAGTGTAAAATATGACATAAATCGATAAATTAATAAGATAATAATTTTTTTGAAAATCCCATATAAACATATGGTCCCATCTATATTATAAATTAATAATTATATAAACTTATCAATATATATATATATATATGTATATTTGATTTAATATATATATATTTGATATAAATTTATATATGTCATATATGAATTACTATGATATATATTTAAAATATTATATGTAAATTTTTTTAATGAAATATGACCTTATTATTCGAAAAAAGTTTGTGTTGTTTTTAAACTTAATAATTACTTCTCTACTTGCAATTGGTTTTAAAAGATATTGCTTATAAAGAAAAAAAAAATTTTAGATAGAAATTTTTTAAGAAATTGCAAAATTAGAAAAATCTCTCTATAAATTAATAATTATTAATTTATCGATAAATTAATACCTCTCTAAATTAATAAAATTTTCTGGTCCCAACATTATTAATTTATAGAGGTTTTACTGTATATGTATACCGAAACTGAAACAAACATAATAATAAATATATCACTAAACCATAGAGGGACCATTACAACATAAGAGTACTAAGAACCATTACAACATAAATCCATAGATTACTACTAATCCATAGAGATTAGAGATAAAACAAAGAAAAAAAAACAGAGCGTCTAAAGCAAATTAGGGACCATTACAACATTAATAAATAGGACTACTAAACCATAAAGATAAATTAGAGAGATAAACAAACATATTGTCTAAGGAGTTCGTCGGAGCTTAGTTGTCGTTGTTGCTGTCGTCGCTGTTGTCGTCGTTGTTGTCAGGGTTTGGAAGTTGGTATCGCTTGACTTTGACATCGCTGCCCATGTTCTTGCCATCTTCGTCGACTATCGTGTAGGAGGCTTCGATGATTGCACTCATGGCAGTGACTCTGAAGCGTGTGATCGTGCTCACTGGAGGATCCATCGGCATCCCTTTTTTGGGTGGAGGAGGCATCGAGGTCGTCACCGTGTGCACAATCTCATAGCATGTCCAGTTATTGTGAAGACGCTTCTCTTCCACCGCATCTTCTCTAATACCCAATGCTCTTGCCACTGCTCGTGCAATCTCGAGGACGACACATTGACCCTTGCGGAAACGGTTGTTTGTGACCATGTCGGTAACGGTTGAATTAAACAAACCAACATAACCAGGCCTCACAGAATTCATAATGCTGATCCTCTCCAAAGCTTTAGCAGCTGCCTTGGCAGAAGAAGAAGACATGGTGAAAGAGAAGGTTGAAAAAGAGAAGCTTGAAAGAGGATAAGCGTAAAAGAAAGGGAGTGAGAGTTCGGTGTGTGTTATTTTGCTTGGGGTTTGAGGGTTTAAATATACGAAACCCCCCACCAACCATAAGCTTCTTCATTGAAGAACACTAGAAGAAATTAAATAATCTATGGCATTTTATGACATGAGAATAATGACTTCTACCCCAAGTCACGATCATTAAGCTCTTACAAATATTAAATATTTTTGGCCTTGGGTGATGACGATCCCTGCGAGAAATAGGGAGAGAGATGAAAAAGACTAGAATTTAATTTGAGAGTGAAAGATATGGAGAAGAAGAAAATGAAAGAGAGAGAGAGGAGCGTTAAAGCTCGAGGAGAGGAAGAAAAAGAAAGAGGTTTGGAGTTTAAAGAGATCATTGTTTTATTTTTTTACCTATTATTACTGGCTCTCGGTATGCGAGTATCGGTTTAGGTATGAATCGGTTCTTTTTGGTTTCGGTATTTCGGATATAGGGTTTAGGTCTCTTCCGGGTATTTTAAGAATTCAGTTCGAGTTTGGTTCAATGTCTTAGACAAAAAAAAAAAAAACCGGACTCAGAAAACCGTACTCGAACCGATCCAAAAAAACTCGGTTTTGTTTTAATTTGGATATCCTATATTACCCGAATAGATCTTAAATTTTTATGTTTGGCATTTTAGATGTTTTGGTTATTATGGTCTAAAATAACTAAAACATTTGAGTTTGTAACTGAAATTTTGTAATTTTGGATTATTTCAAATATAAACATACCTAATATTTTATGGATATATAGTTTTATTTCGAGTATTTTGTATATCTATTTGATTCTCGATTCAGTTCGGATTTGGTTTTGGTTCTTTAAGTAAAACTATTATAAAAAGAGAGACAATAGATAAGCACAAAGCAATATGAAATAATATTGTACTGAAGTTTCTTGACTAATTGGATAGATTCATCCGACTTGAAAATGTATTATACGAATTCCATGCATGTCATGAAATGAGATTGAAATCATTGGAAAAGCTTATGTTGAATATTATTATATCTGAAAAAATTGAAGTAGTTGCATTGCATACACCAAACAAACGTCGTCTAATTTCAATCTCTTTATAGCTGAATTTCTAAACATGTTTTGCTTTCTTCAAAATGGTTAAATGTGTTTTGGTTTCTTCAGAACGGTTAAATGAGTACAAGATACCCAACTCTTTCTCATGTTATAAAGTCTTGTTTTTATTAGTTTCGAAAACCTAATCTATGGCATTTTATGACACGAGAACAATTACTTCTCCCCCAAGTCACGATCATTAAGCTCTTACAAACATTAAATATTGTTGGCCTTGGGTGATGAGTTGGTGACGATCCATGCGAGCTAGAGAGATGAAAAATACTAGAATTTAATTTGAGAGTGAAAGATATGGAGAAGAAGGAAATGAAAGAGAGAGAGGAGCGTTAAAGCTCTAGAAGAGGAAGAGAAAGAAAGAAGTTTGGAGCTTAAAGAAATCATTCGTTTTATTGTTTTACCTATCATTACTAGCTCTCGGTATGCGAGTATCGGTCCAGCTGGTTTCTTGAATCATTGATAGATTCATCCGACTTGAAAATCTATAACACGAATTCTACTGCATGTCTTGAAATGAGATTGATATCATTGGAAAAGATTCTTCTTATGTTGAATATTATAATGTCTCAAGAATTGAAATAGTTGCATTGCATACACCAAACAAACCTCGTCTAATTTCAATCTCTCTATAGCCAAATTTCTAAACATGTTTTGTTTTCTTCAAAATGATTAAATGTGTTTTGGTTTCTTCAAAACGGTTAAATTAGTACAAGATACCCAACTCTTTCTCGTGTTATAAAGTTTTATTTTTATTAGTTTCGAAAACCTAATTCTTATATGATTTTCTTGGCATTAGAGAAATAATATTCCTTAAATTTTTAGTATCATTTTGTTTTCATAAAATTTGAAGTTCATCAAACCAATAATTTCATCTCATTATATATATTTAATATCTTCAATATTCATTTTTCGATATCTTAAACGTAAAAAAAAAAACTATTTAAAAAATGCATGCCCCACCAAATAATATCTTCATAAATAATATGGAACAGAACACATACATAACCTCAAAAACATTTTGCTCCAAATCCGTTTCCATCAAATGTTGCTACAAATACATTGTGTGCCAACGAATTTGTTTTTCGCTTTATCTTGAACCCATCCAAGTAACTCTTTCAATAACATATTAAATTTTTGATTTGTGTAATGAAGATAAAGAAAAATGGATCTGTGATTATGAAAGATGAAAATGATATGGTTTGATTAGAGGATAATAGAACATAACACGAGTTACACAACCTTGAACACGAGCTATAAATGCAGCTTATTTTGTTGTTTCTTCTTTATCATTCGTGAACCATCTTCATTGACAAAGATAGATCGGTCCATGATCATCTATTTCAAATAAAATAGATTCGGGAACCATCTCCATTGACAAAGATAGATCAGTCCATGATCATCTATTTCAAATAAAATAAAACACAGCAATTATAAAACATTGAATACTATGGAACATAATATTGAATAGATGGTTGGGGAGTTACATTATATTACCGTCTACAAAATTCAAATGAAATGTTTCCTCATATAGATGTGTACCCTTACACTATGTCAGTATATAGTAATTAAGGATATTATAGATTCATGTGTTCTAAGTTTTTAATAAAAACTATCAAATCTCGTAGGTCACTAGGCATCATCAAAATATTTCACTATCTAAATTAGGTTTCAGTACTTCAAACATTTTCTATAGGTACTCTAACTTTTTGATGGAAAATTATATTGTTTGAAAATTTTATGGAATGTATATTGTAGAAATTATTATGGAATGTATACAGTATATACTCTAGCTGTGTTTGGTTAATTAGTATCTATATAATTTAGCTTAGACTCAACTTATAAATTTTAAAGAAATTACAACTTAATGTTTAAGTTAGACACTAAGAAATTTACTTATTTAAAAAAGTGAACGAGAAACTGAAACTGTGAGGTCTTTTATTACAAATACAGAGCCAACTTGTAGATTTGAGGGATATTTCTACGAAACTAAAGACTGTCAGATAGTCTTTAAGTTGGCAGTGCTAAAGTATCCTATCTTACAATGTGAACTGATACATTGAGAAATTCTTTAATTTATTACAAATAAATACACTATATGTCTTCCGACAGCTATTTTTTGGTAACCAAAAAAAAACTGATTTATAAGTTGTTGTTTGAGAACGAGTTCAACAAGAAGTCACTTTCCTAGAAAATTCACTGGCGAAGAAATCAACTGCATACTATAATAATTTCATATATGGTTGTGTATCACATAAAAGCTAAATAAAGTGGTTTAGTCGCTTCTCGCTTATATCATCGATCATTGATACTCGATGTTAAAGTTCTATAAATTCTTCTATTTTTCGTTTCGGAGCTAAACTTTGAACACAAATCAGTTTTATGGTATATATGATCTAGTACCAATGTTTCGACCTCTAGTTTTCCTATGGAGACTTATATATAGTCATTTACATAGGACACAAAAAAACAACAACAAAAAAACAATGATTATCCTTCGCATGATGGCATGATATATGTGAATATTAACTATACGGAAAACAGTAATTAGATTTCAAAATATGTATCAAAAGACAACAAATATTTTTTAGAAATATTTTATATATTTGTATGGAAGAAGATGCATTTTATATATAACTTCTTGTAAATATCTAATTATAGTAATAATTATACGGAACATTAAGGTGATGACAAGGAATTGGACTGAGATTAACACAATTACATTACTACTAATATACAACCAACTTGCTAATGCACCTACAACGTGGCAAGTGTTAAAAATATTGTGCGTTATCGTAATTTTTTTCTTGTGCTAACTGTTACAATTTGTTACTAACATTAAGTGTCTAGTCGTTGAAGCATCGACAATCGCTTTAGGGAAGAAAATAATGTTTTGTTTAGAACTTATCGGTAAGTCTAAACATAGATTAAGTTCCAAACGTCCAAATGATACTTCTGCAACAAAATTATTGACAGCGAAATAGAAATACCAAATATATACGAGTTTATGCTCTAGCTCTGATCTAGCTACCAATGTGTCTAGGGTAACTAATATTGCACGTTTATTTTTAACTTTCTTTTCGTAGTTAACAATTATAGAAAAAATCTTACTATGATATTAAATTATTAATCTAGAAGTCATGATGTTAGTCGAATATTGGATTAGCAGCTACTGTTAAACATCTAGAAAGCAGTAAATCGGAAATAAAGAAGATAATTTTCTCTTTTGCTCTGATTTTTTTTTCTTTTCTTTTCATGAATCAAGTAATTAAAACTTTTCCGAACAATTAATGATTTTTTATATGTTAATTTTCAAGTTAGTTTTTTATTTTTCCCTGAAAAAAAGAACTAACTTATAAATTTATTTTGAAGATAATGAATCGTTTTGTCAGAATTAGTAAAAGTCTATATAAACGCCTTATGGGAAGAAAAACATTATAATATCGATTACTTTTGTTACATCCATGTGTATACATTTGAAAGGAAGAATTAGCTAGATATTTTAAAATAACTCATTAATAAAATAACTTTTTTAAATAACCCAAAGCCCTCGCCGCTACGTGCTATTTCAAGGACGATACATCCTTTTTCTTCCATATTTTTCTTTCGTTGTTGTTCAGCATGTCTAATCCATTCACCAAAGATGCCGCCAAACTTGCTGAAAGACTTCGAGTCCTAGAACTTGTCCGTCCGACGTTCGTTAACTTGTTTGAAAAAACCATCAGAGACATGGTGAAAGAAAATCCGTTCCACAAGGATGAATGCATTGTGTTTGAGTTAGCACGTGATGTGGTAAGGGCAACGGTGTTAATTATAGTCGGTCTATGGCATAAGCCACCGAAGCGACCGCTTAGGACATCATTGGAAACATGAAATTCTTCTTGAGAATATT